GAACTTATAAAGAGAAAAGGTTCTGCAGCACGTGAGGAGACGAGCCCTTGCTCTCCGGCCTGTGGTAGAGGTATGGAGTGATGTGAAGTAGGAGAGGGTATGCTGCACAGCACCTCAGGGCCAGGAACTCAGAAGAGGAAGAAGGCTGGGGTCCCACAGTCCCCTTCTAAAGGCTCAGTCCTAACGATGCAACTTCTACCCATCTCCAGAACATCCCACCACCTCCCACGGGACCAAGGCTTTCTTGATCACATCGGTCTTTGGAGGAAATTGAGCGTCCAAACTACAGCAAACACAGTGGGGCCCTTTTTAAAAACGCCTCCTGCCTTTGGCCCAATAAAGGACTTAGACTGAAGGGCTTCCTTGGGTAGAGGTATGGCTTCAGTGCTAGAGTGCCAGCCTTGAGCAAAAAAGCCAACTGAGCCAAGCACCACTGGCTCATGCTTGTAATCCTACTACTCAGGAGGCTGAGATCTGAGGATTGCAGTTTGAAGCCAACCTGGGCAGGAAAGTCCATGGGACTCTAATAAATTACCAATAAAGCTGAAAGTGGCACTGTGGCTCAAGCAGTAGAGCACTAGCTTTGAGCAAAAGAAGCTTAGGGAGAGGCTGGGAAGGTGGCTCAGAGGTAGAGTGCTTGCCTTGTATGCATGAGGCCCTGGGTTCGATTCCTGAGCACCACATAAGCACAAAAAGCTGGAAGTGGCATTGTGGCTCAAGTGGTAGAGCGCTCACCTTGAGCTGAAGAGCTGAGGGACAGCGCCCAGGCTTAGAGTTCAGGCCCCATGACTGACCAAAAAACGAAAAAACAGCTTAGGGACAAGGCCCAGGTCTTGAGTTCAAGTCCCACGACCAGGCAAAAGAAAAAAAAAGCCAAATGACTTGAGGTTGGAGGTGTGGCTTAGGTGGTACAGTGTCATCCAGTGAGTAAAATAATCAGATACTGAATTACAGTCCTGGTCTCCAACAGCAACCAAAGCCAAGTGACAGTGCAAGGGCCCTAAGTTCAAGACACACACACACACACACACACA